AGTCTTCTCCGTCCCTCACTGTGTGAAATCTAGGCAGCCAATTTGATGTACTCATATTGGCCACTTTACTAAAGTTTTAGATTGATTTCTACAAAATGGTCAATCTAATTGTTAGGTGTGAATAGAGGACCTTTTTTTCTCACTTGTTTTCAACCTGGTGTTCCTGTTTTCATTATATTGGAAACTAAAGAAAGGCATGAAAAGAATCTGCAAAGATATATCAATAATGGAGAGTCATCTTAATTACCCTCCATTCAGGGACCCCCAAGTTTGGAAAACTCCAGGAGCAATTAAAATAAGGGTTCCCTATGGGTAAATGAATTGGAGAATGTTTGTTATTAAATATTTGGGTATTTGTGTGTGTGTGTGCTAAAGTTGGACAGGGACTCATAGGGATGGCTGAAGTGGGGGGAAAAGTAAAATGATTGTGAAAAACTTTAAAAAGGAAGGCCCATACATATTTAGGCATTCCATAATCTGCACTTCTAATCCTCACCTTTATAACCACTTCATGTACATTCAGACTATTGCATTTAATAATTCCTTTTCTCCTTCGAAGCCTCATCTGTGTGTGTGAATGGGGATGAGAGGGACAAATAAGGTTTCCAGACAGGTGAAATTCCTCTCAAGAATGTTTTTTTTTAAATAACCTGGTCCTTTCAATTTTATTCTTAATCTCACAATAAATAATCGGTATTCACTAGAAAAACTTAATTTAGTGTGATTTACTATTGTTTAATCCTGCTAGCCAAACTGCACTTGCCCTGAAGAGCTGCATAATTTATTCAAATGACCTGGGGCTTTTAAAGCCAATCTTCCAGCAGAAAAATTATCCCCTGCCCCCAGGAGAGGATTTTTTGTATTGTACTGTTTCCCGTGACTGACATTTATTTGACTCTCAAGTGTATTTACATTGTTGGCTTAACTTGGAGTTCTTTGCAGAATCAATAATATACTGTATTTCTCACTTCAAGTGGTGTCAATATTATTGTTATTCTTCTTTTTTGCTTTTTTTCTTTAATTCCCTGCAGTTACAAAATTTTTTGTTGATTCGTGAAAATTTTTACTCCTAAAATTATGAAGAAACAGAGTAAATGCCCTTTTTAATCTTCTGGGAAATGTGTGCCTCTTTAAACTTTATTTACGTCACAACTTACTATAATGAAGGACAAAAGCTCTAGACAAGGTCCCCTGCTCCTTAGGGGTGTTCAAGGCTAGGTCTCCCACAGGCGAGCCTGCAGTTTGTTCTCACAAGTTTATAGCTCACCTCCTGACTGTTTCCTTGCAAGGGGCATGAGAGGGGGCTAGAAATAGAGCAGGGTGGGAATGTGACCCATGCTGACCACTCAGGAGGCTCTGGCCTGGAAAATTCCCGTGTATGTGGCAAAAACAAACATTTGAAAAGGAGGGAGAAACCAGGCTTAAACAAAGAGTGAAACCAGTTCCCATTTCAGCTCTCCTGCCCATAGCCATATGTTCCTATTCCTTTGTTTCCCAAGCATCAGTTTTCCATCATTTGGACAGAGCCTCCACCTGAATCTGTCCAGGGTATACGAAAAAGTATTTTGAGATTTAATGAAATGGTGTGTATGCATATTAGGAGAATTTTCTCAGTATTCAAACTCAGTCTAGCAAAAGAAATACTAAAATGGTGTGCTGCAAACCTTTGAATTTACTGTATTTCTCAGGCAACAGTGACCACTTCTCACCTGTCTCATCTGCCTGTGTGCTACAGGACTGATTTCAAGGTTAGTGGAGAAACAAATGTCAAAAGCATGTGTTTTGTCTCATATCATTTGTAATTTTGTCTTCTGTCACCTACCCTGTCTTCTTCATGGCTTTCCTTCTGCTAAATATGTTTCTTAAATTCCCAGATGTTTCCCCAGAGCCTCCCAGCCCTGCAAGTGTGCACAGGTTCATTTTGCTACCAGAAAAATATGATCCATAGAAATAACTAGACTCCTTATATCCATTTAAGTGTCTTGGGTGCTCTGGTTTTCTGTATTCGCTGTAGTAAACTATCTAGTCACTCATTTTGTCTACCTGCTGTCTCCATTGTGGGAATAAAATTAAGAAAAATATCTCTCACAAAACAATCCTCCAAATTATTTTCCCCTACCTGAGTGCTTTTGTAACAGTTTATGAATGGTTAGCTGTGTGACTTTCTGTAATGTTGCAGGCTTTCCATTTTCCAGGACAATAGGTGGCTTTAAAGGACCAGCTAGTGCTCCCTCCTGTAGTATGGGGGTTAAGAACATGGCCTCTGACATTAGACTGCCTCGATTTAAATGAAAATGTCCTTGTTTAATAGCTATGTGACCACATAAAAGTTAAACTCTGTGAGCCCTAGTTTCCTGATTTGTAAGACAGAGTTAATATTAATAGTTTATAATAGCACCTACCATGTACTTGACAGGGTTTTAAGCACTTTAAATATATTAGCTCATTTAATTTTCATAACTCCATGATGTAGGTAATTAACATCATCTCCATTTCTCAGATGAGAAAGCTGAAACACAAAGAAGGAAAGTAACTTGGCCAAGGCCGTAGAAGTAGTAGTGATATAGCTGAGCTTGTGAAGCCAGGCAGTTGGATTCCAGAAGCCATTTACATATCAGTGTGCTATATTGCCTCTCCATTAAATTACCGAGTGTAAGCACCTAGCACAGGGTTTGACACATAACATTTATTGTCAAGCAGTATTATCACTACCATCACTTTTCCTTTCTTCCTTTTGTCATTCTTGCTTCTATTGGACTGATTGTGTAAGGTTGATTACCCTCACCCCCAAAAGAAATAAAAACAATGCAATCTAGGCCACAGTAGTTGCCTCCTCCTTGTTCATCTTGTGTGCTTTTATTTAAACCACAAATATGACAAAGACCTATGAAAGGGAACACTAAATGTTAACACCTCTTTTCTAAGACATGAAAATTATGCCCCTCCTATCACCACCCCTCCAGCAGCAAGCCAACAGAAATTGCTTAAAGCAAGGGAGAAATTTTAGAAATTGTAGACTTCAAGTAAGTTGCTACTGTTTTTAATAAGCAGAGGTAAAAAATTTCAAAAAATAATAAAGGTTGCAAAAGACATTGGTGGACAAAGATTCTGCTACTAGAATAAATTTCGTAGTCTCCACTCCTTAATGCATTTTAGAATGCCAGTATCAGGGATAAAGAGAAAATTCTGCAAATAATTATATTCTTTCTAAGTAAGCCACTGACTTCAAAATTCTCTAACACATTTGTGGAAACTTCATTTTTTTGTGTGTGAGATTTATTTGAATGAGCTGTTATGATTGGAGACAGTGAGAATTTCAGATTAATGTTTTGCAGCCAAAAAAAAAAAAAAAGCCCCTCTGGAAAGCTGGCAAGTGTTCATAAGTCAGCCCTAGAATTATGTAGGTTGAAGGCTCCCAGTGGACAGACCGAACATATAAGAAGGAAACCAGAGATCTTGTGCTATTACGTCCCCGAGTCTAAGGGAACGAATAAGCACAGAATTAAAAGCATTCTTCAGCTTGAATTTTTAAGGTAGGTCTGCACAATTTATATATACTGTATTTGAAAAGTAGAACATACATTAAATGGAAATATTTTTTATGGATCAACTTTATTTTTCCCCTGTATTTTAACACTGTATTTGCAAAACTCCTAAATTATTTAACTGCTGTTTCTCTTACAGGAGTGCACTTAGGAACTTGCCAAGCTGATTTATGATAACTAAGTTTTAAACTCCAACAACCAGTAAGTCTTCAAGTGAGTTTATTTTAGATTCTTTCATGTTCATAGGTCAAGATTATGATAGAATGAGCATTGGATAAAAATGATAACTTTGCTGTTTATTAGGAGATTCTTCAGTGATTACATTTTTCATAGAGTAGTTTATTTATATGTATTTCCAAACAATGTAAACTAACAGTCTTTCACTTACTGTGTTTATCTTTATCTAGTCTTCCTTTGTTTTAAAATAATGTTGCTACCAAAAAACACCCTACCACAAAAACTAAAACAGTTGAGAGGCTTGTAGCGATGTTACTACTTAGTTATGTTACACTGAAAAGACATAAAAGGAAAAATGATAATTGCATATGATTAATTTTGATGTTCAATTCTTATTTCATTGAGCAATCAAAACTATTTCTACTTTACCCTAAATCATATTTGGCCATTTTTTTTTCTTTTCCCACTTGGTAAAGAGAATGGACTACAAAAATAGATTAAATTTAAATATCTATATCTAAAACTCATACTCTCTATTAAAATGTAAATAGGGGATTTTTAGAAGTATGCATATGTTTCAAAACTTCCTCTTATTTATATTACTATTGTGAAAACAATGGATAATTAGAACTAAATGAATTATTTCTTAATTAGTAAAAACCAAGCATAATCCCTCATCTCAATATGTTCTTTTTGCATATTCTCTTTCAATCTTTTGGGCACTTACTTATTTTTTTCCATAGCTTATGTTACTTATATTTTCCATAGCTGTAATGATTTGTGTATAATTAGTTACCTGAATAAGGGATTTTTCTATGCAATAGCAGGCAGAAGTGTGGTTTCTAGAAAGTATACAGACTAAGATATGTGTTCAAGTGTTTCTGAAATATTAACTTTTCTTCTTGGATCCTTCTTGTCTGTTTCATGCATTTCCTAGCTTGGCTAACCTTTTGGAATATTAATTTTCTTTAAGCCTTTTGAAAATATGATATAGAAGATGGGCAAAATGTAGTTTCTCAGAATTTTCAGTCCCTAATGCTATAATGTCTTAACTTCTTAGTACTATTGAGAAAATGCTTTTTTTTCAGGAAGTAAAACACATTCTTATTTTATGTCATGGTTCTGCTTCCTAATGTTTTCTATTATCACCCACCAGTTTTGCTTTCAACAAACTTTCAAAATGCTCATGACTCAATGATGTTCTAAACTCTGTATGTATACTGAGAGTTTTTTATTTTCACAGAAGGCAGTAAAATCAGGAGCTGCTGACATTTCAATATGAAAGGCAACTTCACCTTTGCCACCATCAACAAAAACGTCACCAGCAGTCCTTTCGTCGGACCTGCGAACATCTCTGGCAATGAGTCTACCTATAACTGCTCGCATAAGCCGTCAGATAAGCATTTAGATGCTATTCCTGTTCTCTACTACATTATTTTTGCAATTGGATTTCTTGTCAATACAATTGTGGTTGTACTGTTTTGTTGTCAAAAGGGCCCTAAAAAGGTTTCCAGCATTTACATCTTCAACCTGGCTGTGGCTGACTTACTGCTTTTGGCTACTCTTCCTCTCTGGGCAACCTATTATTCTTATAGATATGACTGGCTCTTTGGACCTGTGATGTGCAAAGTTTTTGGTTCTTTCCTGACCCTGAACATGTTTGCAAGCATTTTTTTTATAACCTGCATGAGTGTTGATAGGTACCAATCTGTCATCTATCCCTTTCTGTCCCAAAGAAGGAATCCCTGGCAAGCATCATATACAGTTCCCCTGGTTTGGTGCCTGGCCTGTCTGTCCTCATTGCCAACATTTTATTTTCGAGATGTTAGATCTGTTGATTATTTAGGGGTAAATGCTTGCATTATGGCTTTCCCACCAGAGAAATATGCCCAATGGTCAGCTGGGATTGCCTTAATGAAAAATATCCTCGGTTTCATTATCCCTTTGATATTCATAGCAACATGCTATTTTGGAATCAGAAAACACTTGCTGAAGACCAATAGCTATGGGAAGAACAGAATAACTCGTGACCAAGTCCTGAAGATGGCAGCTGCTGTTGTTCTGGCGTTCATTATTTGTTGGCTTCCCTTCCATGTTTTGACCTTCCTGGATGCTCTGGCCTGGATGGGTGTCATTAATAGCTGTGAAGTTATAGCTGTCATTGACCTGGCACTTCCTTTTGCCATCCTCCTGGGATTCGCTAACAGCTGCGTTAATCCCTTTTTGTATTGCTTTGTTGGAAACCGGTTCCAACAGAAGCTCCGCGATGTGTTTAGGGTTCCAATTACTTGGCTACAAGGCAAGAGAGAGAGTGTGTCATGCCGTAAAAGCAGTTCTGTTAGAGAAATGGAGACCTTTGTGTCTTCAACATGAATATGGAATTCATGTTATCAACATGGCTACTTGGTTTGAGGTCCCCTTGGAATTACCTTTTTAATGGCTTTAGTAAAATAAGTTTTTCCCTTGATGTAATCTTTTCTCACTGTTGTAGAACCAGAAACCAAAGGTAACTATGAGTTTACCTCCAGTGACTGTCAGAAATTGCCCCTCCTTTTTTTCTGGTCTATCAATACAAGACTGTCATTGGGCAGACACCCGTGACATTGAAATAATTGGGGATTTATCTCAAATTATAATTAATAACAAATTGTGAATGATAATTTGGGGGTTCAGATTTCTCCTTGACAAAAACTGAATTTTTAAATTGCTTTTTATATCCATTTTCATGAGGTTTTTCTCCTCAACCAACTTTAGTCTTTTAATTCTTTGCATTATTTACAAGACATCATGCTAAGAGGCACTATACTTGTAAATGAAGTATACTACAACAGATTGGTATCACATTATTCAGGCTTCAGGCATATGCTTTCTACTTTAAAAAATATTATAAATACACAGAGAGCTGTAACTGAACAACAATAAAATAATTTTAAAAAATTAAAAAAACAAAAACAACAAAAATATTATAAAAATTCTTTTACATTTTACTTGAGCATAGATTTATATTTCATATAGCTACATATTGAGTAGGGCTAGGAATATACATTAGATCACACATACTTTCTATGTTTTAGCTTATTTTTTCAGTTATGGAAAGTAAAATATATATTAACAGATTTATAATTAATAAATATTTGAGTGTTCACTAAACTCTGATTAAACACTTTTTAAAACTTTTAATCAAAAAAACCCAAAAAACAAAAAAAAACTTTTAATCATTTTAACTGTTGTTTTAAGGTTTCTATATTTTCTGATAATTTCTTGAAAACAATAACTAAACACTGTAGCATTTTAAAATGTAAAAGGTCACTTTTTACATCCTTGACCTTTTAGATGTGGTGCTTTGATATATAGGAAGTTGACTTTATTATTGGTGTTTTCATTCTGATTTGCTTCCCAAAATATCTGTGTAGCTTCTTTAAGTCTTTAACTTATAGTATGTAAACTAGCACAGGAAAAGGTAATGCCAGAATATAATTTTGAGATCCAGGGAGGACCAAGAGATCCAGCAAATGAAAAATTTTGTGTCATGCAAAAGCTCTACCTGTCAAGGCAGTGCAATGTGGCTTTAAAAACAAAGACCACAAGGTAGTTTTACCTATACCTATGAATGGTTTACTCTAGAATTTATGGGAGTCTTTGGAACTCTTGTAAACCAATCATTGCTTCATAGATGTCCTTCTTAACATTGTTAGAACTCCTAAATGAGAGAAGTTCCTGAAACTGACTGAGTTACCTAGAATTAACTTAGAATATGAATCCTGTTTTCAGAAGTTAGAGGTTTTATTCTGCACCAGCTCATCTATATATACATATTACATTAGGTTTTCTAGGACCTTCCCAGACCAATGTTGACCTCTGAGGTAGAAATGAAGTTTCAGAGGCCTAGTATCTCTGTCAGGTTCCAGGGTTACTGGTCAAAGAATCCTCATGCTTCACTTTCTGGGAAAATCTTAATTTCATGTAATCTACTATTATTAATAAAAATAGCTAAATGTATAATCAACTATGACTTCATATTTTCAATAATCTTGTAACACATTGCATATAAATAAAATCTTTAATTGGAAGATTATGTGTTTACTTTTTTATTTTAATGACCACTAAGTATAAATTCTTACCTTTTCTTGTATCTGTATCCTTATAATTATAACTAAGATGTATAATCACCAATACATCTTAGTTTCAGCCCCTGTCATTCCTTACCTGGCTTTTTGCCATATTCTTTTAGTTTGCTTCTCTTCAGTTTTCAGTTTTTCATTATAAGAGGGAAGCCCCAATTTCTTATCATGCTATATAAGACTACAGGAGATCTGCTCCTTCCCAGCCTCTCTGTTTTGTTCTCTCTGCTATCTCTCTTTTGCACTCTATGTTCAAGCATCACAAGAGAACTTAAGTGCTTTTTAAAAGCTTGATGCTCTTTCATGCTCCTCTGCTTTTGTTCACACAACTCTGTCTTCCTGAACACCCCTCTAATCATTCCCACCCCCATGGTTTCTCATTCAACTGATGAACACCTATCTAGCTTTCAATATTTTTTTTAAGATTTATTTATTTATTTTTAGAGAGGGAAGGGAGGGAGAAAGAGAGAGATCCAGCTTTCAGTATTTAACTCATATAAATTCCTCTACAACAATAATGATTATTATACTAATTATAATACATACCTCCTCCCCTGGGACTAAGAAAAAATGTCAGTTGAGAAGATGGTACGTGAACATCTGAACTCTAACTCCAAGAGTGTACAAAGATATCAATGTTTTCTTTTCTCTTTGAACATGTAAATTTTAGGTAAGCTTCTCAGATAGCAAATGAAACTATATTCTTATTTGGCCACATTTCTAGGTATTATCTAATCCCCCTGCTTTTCCATGATCCTACTTTTATTCACTTTACCTACACAATGCCCAAGAACCATATAATAACAATAATAGCTACTATTAGGTGGACATATGTTGTATAATATTGTAAGTATTTTACATGCATTATCCCTTTTTATTCCTAAAATCAATCAATTATTTGCATTTTACAAATAAGGAAACTGAGGAACAAATGAGTCCCTATTAATCTTTAAATTTGACTCTGACAGATAATCTGGGTATTTACTATTTAAAATATGAATCCCAGGCTACCAAGCAGGTATTTCAGAGGCAGTCTTGTGTAGTTCTCCAACCTTCCTGTCAAACCTCACTCCTCGCACATCTCTGACCACAAAAGTACAAGAGCTTTGTGCAGGTGGTATATTTGCGCCTATGGGTAAAAAGAGAGGAGACAAATAAAGGTTTCTCCATGCCTCTCCACTGCCCTTTTCTTGTGCTCAGTGTTGTACAGAACTACTCCTTACTGCTTCTTGTACCCCATACACAAAGCAAGACAGAAATTTCTTTTGAGGAACAAAATGTTGACATGAACTTTAGCTCTGTGAAATGAGATTACTTAAGGTTACCAGAGAAATTAATCTCCTGCAGTTTTTAGAAGAAATATGTACTTTTACTATAGAGAGAGAAGTATTAATTATTTCTACATTTTATATCCCTAAATTAGATCTACTAAATACATGTTTTAACCACCCCCGCCTTTTTTTCTGATCTTTTGAGGTCTGTATTAAAATAAGGAGACAATCTCAAGGAAAGCATGTTCTATTTTGACTTTTCTTTTTTCCTCACATGGGTCTGAGAGTGGGGAACTCTTTGGTGGACTCATATCAACAAATGAAAAATTCAAACTTGACAAGTTGAATTAATCAAGCTCTAGGCATATGCTATCTTGAGGTGATTGAGGCATGAAATGGCTGAAGTAATAAAGAATATATAGGTTTGATTATTTTGTTAATTCCTAGATAAATTATATTAGCAATGAGGACCCACATAAAGTAACAGAAATTCATATGCCATCACTAAAAGTAATCACTTCTGCTACAAAACACCAGTGGCCTGCAGCTGAGTTGACTAGCCTTCTAGACATTGATATTCACTTGCATAAACATACCTACAAAGGAATAACATCTTAAGAAAGAAAATTCTTTTTGAATTTTTTTGGGATGAGAGAATTTTTTAAATTAGAACTAATTTGTATGTATTTCTTTTTTAATTTTTTAAAAGATTTTATTTATTTTTAAAGAGAGAGGAAGGGAAGGAGAAAGAGAGGGAAAGAAACACCAATGTGTGGTTGCCTCTCACACACCTCCTACTGGGGACCTGGCCTGCAACCCAGGCATGTGCCCTGACTGGGAGTCAAACCGGTGACCCTTTGGTTTGCAAGCCAGCACTCAATCCACTGAGCTACACCAGCCAGGGCTGTATGTATTTCTTATTAAGAATCAATATTCTCTCATTGTTGAAAAAGTTAACTACATAGATATAAATTAGCCACTGAGATGATCATTGTGAACAGCATGGGGTAAGAAGATTATTATAAAGCTATAAATATAGACACAAATTTTATATATATACTCTTAATTTTTATCTCTTTACCCATGTCTATATTTTTTCTCTTTTTGTCTATTATCTGTAAGATATATCTTTCATTACCCTGTGGTTCATTTCTTTTTATTTTTTAGGTTAAATATATTAAAAAATTATTGAGGTATGTATAATTGACATATAACATTATATTAGTTTCAGGTATGCAGTGTACTATTTTGATATTTGTACTCCCCATGAAATGAGCACTACAATAAGTCCATTTATTACCCAGAACCATACAAGATTATACAAATTTTTGTGTGATAACTTGTAGGATTTATTCCCATTACATCTTTTAAATATCCACTACATTATTGACTATAGTCACCATGACTATACATCAATTACATCAATATACACCATTATGTCTCAATGACTTATTTTACAACTGGCAGTTAGTACCTCTTGATCCTTTCACCGATTTTTGCTTGGCCCTCAAACAAGCCTCCTCTTTCCCCTGTAACCACCATTATGTTCTCTGTATCTATGAGTTTGATTTTATTCTTAAGATTCCACATATAAGTGAGATCACACAGTATTTGTCTTTCTCTGACTTATTTGACTTAGCATAATACCTTCAAGGTCCATCCATGTTGTTGCAAACATTTTTTAAATATTCAGAATATTATATCTCTAAACTCCCATCTAGTTTACTAGGAAAAATTCTTTGTTGGGTCCTCCTTTCTTGTGATAAGTCCCAAATACTCATGGCTTTAAGCAATCCAAGAGATTACCCTTGGTTACCATTGCCCAGTGGTGGAAATACTGGAAAATCTGGTAAGACCACTGACCCATTTTCTTCAGTTGTTGTTGCCATATTATCAGTTGGTCCACATGAAAACAGATGGTTCAGCTATCTGTGCAGATACCTGTCCACTTTAAGGAATTTCTAAGTGCACAAGCCACCTA